CTTATAGGATCTTGTACGTTTCTGTCCGAAATTCGTATGTGGAAATTTTCTCACAAGAATTTTTCTTGTAAGAATTTGTAGCAGAATTATAACTCGAAGAGTACTCAATAAAAAATAACTTTATTATAGTGTTTTCTCAAAAGTTTTTGATATCTAAATTTGACAGCTAAATTCTGGCATTAAAAATAGTGTTCCATAAAAAAAAAAACGATTTGACCTTGACTTGACTTTGGTAATCTCCCATATACAAAATTTGTTATTTTTACCTTCTTTCCTTCAAGAAGACATCTACATATAAAATCTTTTCCTGTATCTTCCTTAGTTTTTGAGATATCCGCCTGAGGCGATTAAAATGCTCCACCCTGTATATATACATACATATATATTATATATATATATATATATATATAATACATACACGTAGAACATACGGAATATTAATCTTCTGTGCATGTGTCAACATATTGGAGATGTGAAACCTGTAAACTGTTACTTTTTAATGTACGTATGATATTTTGAAATATGCGCATAAAGGACGAATGTTCCATATACAGATATATTCCGAAATTCGTGAATCAGAATGTCACAGTAAGAAAGTATTCAAAAAATTAAATATAAATTTATGAATTTTTATTTTAAGCGGAAAAAAATGAATACAGATAGACGCAGACTAACGCAAAGCCCCTATTATGAGATACCGAGTTCATTTTAAGTAAATGCTAGAAGTCTATGGGCAAAATTTTAAAAAATAATAGGTCACTTTGAAAGGAATTTAATAAGCTTTAAAATAATTTTATATATAATTTAATTCAAATTCCATTTTTTTTTAATTAAAGAAATGTAAAAAGAGTGAACAAAATAAAAAAATTGTGCTCCTAATATGAGATGCCCCAAGAAATTGATAATAAAACACAAAGTATATCAATATTGCAACTAAAAAACTTTATTTAATGTTTCTTAAATACAAACAAACAGCCAGCGTGTGCGAAAAATGAGTATGCGATACGTTATATCCAGAACTCATCTTCAGATTGTTGAAATCAGTTGAAATCTAGCATCGCAGAAATAGGCATTCGACGTTCATTCCGGTTATTCTTTTTATTATTATACTTTAGCAGCGATTTTCACTATGCATGGGAGCATTATTTCGTATTAGAAATACCCTGGGTATCTCATATTACAATTTTCATGCCTTACGGTTTTACGATCATCAAATCTAACTTCTGTAATTAAGCAATTCAACATATCCCGCATTTTTTTATTAGTACGACCTTACTCTATAATTACATGAAGAATTTATTGCCAAATATTTATTTATTAAATAATAAACAAAGTTTAAAGGTTAAGATTCATCTCAATGAAACATGAAGATATCTAAATTCTAAAATCTTTTTTTACAATGACTATAGGCATGATTTAATAATGAATTTTCTACTAAATAGTTTTCAATAAAAGAGCAATAAACTCATAGTGGAACTAATAGATAGCATTTATTAGTTTAATAGAAACGTCGCTATCTCATATTAGGCGCCTATTCCATAATAGGGAGTTTTCCTCTCGATATACAATATGTTTTATTTTAAGTGATATGGTCGATTATCTCGCGAGTCGATGATTTTATTAAAAAATTTTTCGAACGAAAGTTGCATGAAGGAAGACACATGATGAACAAATGTGAACTTAGCTTTGTGTGACCTTGTCAAAATCGAATCAAGGTCATTAATATTTTTTTAAACATAAAACCCTATTTTTTATTACATATTCTTGTCTATATACTCATAGCTTATCTCGAGAACTTTCCAAAATACTATAATAAAGTTACTTTTCGTTAAGTACTTGTTAAGTTATAAGGCAAGACCGATCATTGATCCGATCAACTACGAAAAAAAAGAGAAAAGTTGAATCATTCAATTGGATAGGATTCAATTCCGTGCGCGTGAGCGTATGTTAAGCAATGTGGATAGATCGTGAAGACGCACGTGCGTAAGAATCCCTCTCACACGCACATGTGTACATGATAACGCGACGATACTGTAACTTTCAAACTCAATGAAAAATACTCAATGAAACGTAATTTTATTATAGTGGAAAGCTCTCGAGATAAGCTACAAGAATATGTAATAAAAAATAGAAGTTTCCATTTAAAAAAACATTAATGACCTTGACCTGATTTGGATAAAGTCACTCAAGGTCAAATCCACATTTCCATCATGTATCCTCCTTCAAAGCACTTCCGTTCGAAAAAGTTTTCAATAAAATCATCGATTTGTGAGATAATCGACCATATCACTTAAAATGAAACACTCTGTGTGTGTGTGTGTATGTGTGTGTGTGTATACGCGCGCGCGCGCGCGCGCACACACACACACACACACACGAGCGGACTAAACTGAGACGGAAAGTCCTGTATCATTTTATAATTTTCGCAATAGTTAATGAGATATTAGTCTCTAAAGATCACCGAATACGCGCATCCGTCCGGTCTACTATTATCAAGTGTACGCCCATTGTTAGTTCGGCGCGCGGGCCGCGGGGAATGAGAATGGCTTGGCAAGCAGGATTGACAATTAACGATATGACTCTCGCATAGGAGTAGAATGGAGTAAATTGAGAAGAAACGTCCTCTACCATTTTGTATTTTTCGCATTAATTAACGAGTTATTAATTTATAAAAATGACCAAATTCATTCGGCCTACCGCTATATGCAAGCGCGTGGCGAGATAAGACCGCCCAGCAATGCGTGCGTTCGCCGTTATGTTAGGCACATTAAAACCAATATCGCTGTAAACAATATATCTAGCAATGACAAATATGCGTTTCTCTGGGCAGTCTTATCTCGCGCTTGCATTTGGTAGACCAGGCGAATTTGGCTATTTTCCTAAATTAATAACTCGTTAACTAATACGAAAAATGTAAAATAATAGAAGATTTTTCTAATCAGTTTAGTCCATTCTGCCGTTATGCAAGAGTTTTATCGTTAATTGTCAAATATGCTGTAAGTTTCGAACTAATGTTCATTTTTTCCCTCTAGATTGAAAATTTACCCTGGATGGTCCTATTTTGTCAGATTCGTATTCAGCGACTCAAAATATATAAAGATAGCTGGGTCTCCACTCCAACACATGGTACTTTTTTCCTGTAAGTCTGAGTTATCATTATCAGGATTGTTACTTTTTTGTAATTTTTCTTTAAAAAAAGGTATCTGATTTGGTTTTGTTGAAGATTTCTTTCCGAAACCGGAAGAAAATCGACGTTCACACGCGTTACATGAAAAATTGTAAGTTGATTGACCTCTCTCATGTCACTTGCGTATAATAGCGTTTTCCCTTGGCTGCACTAGTGCAACACTCAGACGTTTCCATGGTAGACAAACTCATTCGGTGTACCGAATTCGTGGCTACGATGTATTGCAAGTTTTACGCACAAAATAGAATTTTGTCATATCATCTCAAAGGAATATGTAAAGTCAGTGTGACATTTAAAATTTAAAAATTTAAGTTAATCGGAAGCAGAATTTTAGTGCAATAATGAAGTAATATACACCATGGTGTGGACTATTCCAATGCAATGCAGTACTTAACGCAACTGCAGTGTAAGGCTACACCCCAAGGAAAAATAAGCTATAAAATTTATGATTTATGGTAAATCATTATTTATATGCACTACTTTAAAAAAAAAAGATTTTTCAAAATTTAGAGCAGTTAGTCAGAGAATTTTTCTTCATCTGCTGGACATTTGTTTAAAAAACCGAAATTTCTAGGCAAACACCAAAAATTTAGCAATCGTATATATATTATTATTAAACAATATTATCAATAAAAACAAAAACTCTATAATTCAACTAATCTTTGATTGATTCACGATTACTCATAACGGTAATGCACCATATAGATTCTTAGATTTGTTATATACAAGTTTAATATGAACGAACCAGAAACATTTATATTTGTATGCCGGATCAAATGTTTGTATTCGAATAGGGGAGGGATAATGGATGTTGTAATAATTCGTACATCGAAGAATCATACAGCACGTAGATCCGATTAAGCGAATGTATGGGAGCGATCTACGCGACGTAATTGCCTTGGTTTATATCGATAGAATGTTGCACAATAAGATAGAGTATATAAAAAAACAACTACTGAGAAATGTACACAGAGTATTTATAATAGAGCAGTCGCGCCGCTCGAAAATCCTCTTTCTGTCTTTTTCCCTCCGCCATGAGATAGAAATCAACATTTGGCGAAGAATACAAGAATTTAATACTAATATTCTGTTCTCCTCAACTATAAAGACGAACGAGATCCAAAGTGATGAACCATGCGACACTTGTAGTGTAATAATGCGTGTCTTTGAATATATGCGTGTAAATCGCATGTGTATCATTTGGCATTTTTCATATGGCGTTTGTTTGGTGGCTCAAAATGCTGGATCAGCAATCTGGTGTCAAGATAGAAGAGGTTTCTCATATGGAAAATAGCGCGCTACATTGGCAGCATTAATAATTTGTGCTAGACAATTCGATAGATCGTAGTTCTTTACGCACATACAGTCTTTACATATCGTTAAATGAAAGAAAATTCATTTCATCATCTAATTCTATTCTCTTTTGACTTCATCTCGTGTTCGATCGACCTTTGTTCTACATATATGTTATTCTTACTGATCAAAGACGTAAGACATATACAAATATCTTAATATACTCGATAGACGAAAAACGGATGTCGAGTGAGCCACGCTGTACATATATCTGGGCGTTGTCTTTACGTTGTTTTTACGTTTGTCTTTACGTTGAAAGATTAAGAAACGGCGAGACTTCGCATTCCTTAAAGTCCGCATTTAATAAAAAAATGGTATTCCTTTCGCGGTACCGAAACGCACGAGTATTAATTCTTAAGTGATGCTTAAACAAAAAGTGGAATATGCGTCATATTTACGTTGATTATCTGTACTCCACAAAAGGAGGGAAGGCCGCGAAAGGATCATTGACCAGATTGGCCTATTTTAATTAGTTTATATTAAACTTGGTCTTGGTGTTCGCACAATCCGTGGCACGCTCAGGAACAAACGTGAAGTATATTATACGTAATCCCTTTTACATCCAGATTTCTCTCTATTCTTGAACGTTCGCTTGTAGCTGCGCGTGAGGCTGTGCGTCGCCACACTGTTCAATGCTGCTTTTGTGCATGCCACGGCACTTGTTTCCTAATTTCTATCCCTGAAACAGACAGAGTTTCTTTCTTTTTCTCGAAATTTATGGTTAAAATAATTTTTGAGACTCGAACAGTTGCTTATCTGAAAAGAATGATCCAAGCCCGATGTTCGTCGCTTAGAAAGAAACAGGTGGTTTTCGATCAAATACTATCTATATGTAGAGGAAAAATTAATACTTACACAGGCCCAGGATAGTAATAGGGTGGTGGTCGTTCGTATTCAGTGCTTAAAGGAGGTGGAGTCCCGGCAGCTGGTTGATATCTTGGCGGACCACCGTTGGGGAAATCCCAATTTCTGTAAGAACAATATACAGCATTTCAATAATGCTTGGTTGCTCAAGTTCGATCACGAATTTATAGCGTTTTGCATTTCCTTGATTCCATTTAGCCATTCGCCACTCACTAGCTTCGGACACTTGCTGATTTGACCATGAAAAAGCTAAACGCTGATCTATCATGTCCTTGCCAGTAAAATGCTTTAGCAAACTAATATACAGCAGCCGATCAAGCGAAATGAAAGTAATACTGTATCCGATTGAAATATCTCGACAATTGCAAAGTATATTTCCGTTGAGATGGACATGCTTCTCCACGATAATTTGTAAGGTATCTTTAAGTAAAATTAACATCAACGGAAGAGATATTGTTCGAGACGGAAGTTTATTTAATAATCGCTCTTATTGAAAACGTTTAATTTTGGTCAACAACAAGAGAACGAGCCCTCCACGGGTGAGGAGAAAATTGAACAATCATTCAGATCCTGTTTCAGATCATTTTATTGCAAAAATCCTATTTCTCTTGCGAAAGCGATCATAATCATCATCAATTGAAAAAAAAGTAAGAGAAAAAAAAGAGAAAAGAAACAAATCGAATGAGTACGAACGTAGGAGGAGAAATGCAGAAACATTTTGTGTAAACAGTAGTCTTTGCGACTTACGTGCAGAGGCGTATCGAGAGACGCGAGAGGCTGAGCCCCCCGCAAGGTTCCCACTCACCTGGAAAGAACCGGGAGAAATCGTGACCATCGAGGTTGCATAAAATGCATTGAAATGATGCTTAATAGTCAATACAGTCAAAATCGGCGAAATCGCGCGTAAAATCGTAAAGGGAACCGAAACGGCCGACGTGTCATCGTTCCACACTCTCGAGCACCGCGGATAGTCGCCTCCAGTTAAAAACGATGAGATCCGCTCTTCTGAAACTCACGGCTAGAACGACGTCGGCCGTCCGAAAATCTAAGACTACATAAATAATATATGAGTGGGAACCCTGCTCGTGCCGGGCGAGAGAAATAGATCAAGAAGATCATATTGATCGCCAGATATTAAGTATCGATATATACTCAAACAAAGTGAAAGCGTTACGTTTCACAGGAAACTAGCTTTACGCTTATTGGCGCATTAAGGACTTACTGTGACTCTAATGATAGGCTAAAGAGCTTTATTCAATAAATGGAAAAACGGGCAATTAAGAGCCTAATTTTGCAGTAATTGAAGCGATTATATCAACATATATTTCTCAGTATCACATATATAACAAATATCGAATGTTTCGGCTTAATTCAAGCCATCTTCAGCAATCTATAATAAAATCTTTTGATGAATAATTCCAAACATTTTGGTAGTCTTGTATAACACAACTTCTTCAATACGATTAAAGTAATCGCAAATCAAAGTAATCAAGTGCAGCAAGGGAGTCTCTCAGATTGCCAAATCTGAAGTAAAGACTTTATTGTAAGATTTTGTTTTTGAAGGGATAGTATGTTTATGATTTCGTCATAATAGAGTGAGACTGTAAAAAAATAAGAACGTAACCGATGAAATGGCAAAATGACAATATGAGAGAGAGAGAGAGAGAGGGGGGGAGGGGGAGAGGAGAAAGCAGGAGAGTCGAAATTCATAGCCGATTTTTATATTTAAGATTTTTTACAATTAAATATATTTGTATTTATTTACAAGGAAACACAACCAAATGTTCCTATTAGATTTTAATAAGCTTTGTTAAAATATAGAAATACACATTCGAACCTCCGTAAAAATAATGTCCTAAGCGCATGCGCATTTGTTTATTTTTATGGAGGTCCCGATAAGTTACTTTTATAGAGGTTGGACTATAAGAGATACGTTTTCTTTATACTGAATCGTACGTCAAGAGCGTAGAAACTGAAAAAAAATCGGTTTTTTTTTTCAGGGTATCATCGAAACTATGAGAGACAGAAAATTATTGTATCTTTATTATTACAGAAAAAAATATTTTAAATAAAAATTTAATGATTTCAAGAATACTTAATAATTAAAATTAAAAATTTTTTTATTTATTTATTGTATACCCATACTTTCTTACCATTAATTTTCAAAAACTTTTATGATGAAAATTTTTATGATGAAAATTAAAGAGCATCTATACTGAAAACAACGATATATAATATAAGCACGTAAAGATTATGCGTTTCGCGAGCAATGATGGTATATAGGCCGTTTTTTTAGCATGCGCATCGGTGGAGCTGTTGAACTAATGACGTATATCACTTCGTATGTTGGATGCAAAAATTTTGTTTTGGTGAGCTCAACATTCAGGCGTGCGTTCCAAAACTTGACTCTGTCAACTCCGAGTATCTTTTACCTTTATTCAACATTCGATGACCAACAAGAATAAAAGAGAGTTGATAGAGTTGAATTTTGGAACGCAATCCAGGAGGTTAAGGAGATCGACAAGAAGTAAGTATAAATTTAATTAATATGTATATTTTGGATCCTAATATGGCAAAAGAAGCTTTTAAAAAGCAAATATTGATACTCTATGTAATATTTCTCCAAAGTTAAATATTTTATTTTATATTGATACAATTTAAAAAGTTATTGTTGTTTTCTCTTATTTCAACTTAATCATAGCGTAAAATTTGTATTAAATATTAGGTGTTGGAATTAATTCGTAGCGTTTTTACATATATGATATATTAAATTCCTAAGGAGTGACATACGTGCTTGTACGTATGCAAGCTGTGCGTGTGTATGTATGTACACATACATGTGTAACAGTATATTTAGCATATGTACGTATCTTATATTCTTTCAATTTTTAAAAATATTCAGAAAATATTTTAAAGGCGATTACTGACATACCTTTCACCTTACTTTAGACACGTTACTGAAGCCATATGCACTGCGCACGCGCCAAAAAAACAGCCCGTCTACTATCTTTGTTCGCGGGTCTTCTTCGTGGTCAGATCTATTTGGAATGCCAACGTTTCGTGAACCTTGTAGTTCATCAGGACAAGGAGCAGCCTGATACTGAGCTGGACTGTTCCTTTTATATTATGCTGCTTGTTGAAGTGGTGGAGGGGGGGGGAGGGAGAAGAGAATTGTAAGGGGAGGAAAGGGGGAAATTGGTTGGTCTTCAATAACCGGGAAAACGGTCTTCCATATTTTATTTATGTCGTAACCATTTCTATTTAGATTATTAGGATGTTTTTGTATCTCTATGACTTCTCTATACTTTCTTGGAAAATATGATGTAATGTGGTCAAACAGTATTTTATGTCCTGTTTTGACGTTGTGTTCTGATAATGTCAACTGCGTGGCGTGTTTTAGCCTGACATCACGTTGATGTTCTTTTATCCGTAGGTTGACTATTCTCCCGATTTTTCCAATGTATATTTGTCCGCAGGAACAAGATAAACCACCACTTCAACAAGCAGCGTAATATAAAAGGAACAATCCGGAACAACAGCTCAGTATCAGGCTGCTCCTCGCCCTGTTGAAATGGACTGCAAGATTCACGAAACGTTGGCATTCCTAGAATAGATCTGGACACGGAGAGAACCCGCGAAACGCATAACCTTTATATAGAAAGCACCCGTGAAAGCCTCAAGAATATTATAATATAAGTTCCGAAAGACCATTTTTGAACAAAAAGCACCTCTATACATGCTCAAAACATATTAGGAGACATGGTAGCGTTTTGCGTTAAGAGCAAACGCAGCGATGTCAAAATCATATCGTGTTGGTTGCGTGAGATAGCGTTAAAGGCAAATACAATACAGTATCAGTATAGCAGCAATTTGAAATAACAGCTTTTTATAATAATAATCAAATTTTAAGTGAGAAGAACCCTTTATATTTGGTCAAAGTGAATCTTAGTGCTCAAATATATATTTCTTGTGTGAATTTATATATAGTAAGTCACATAAGATCGTGATCGGTCTTACTCAAAGCTAATAAAAGATATCGCCCTAAATCTATCATGAATCCATTGAGGGTACCTTTGTCCTTGATGCACTATCAAGGAAGATTCAGTTGTCATTGAACTTTCTTAAGAGAATCACATTAAGCGCCATGAATACCAAATACGCATCACGTTATGAAGCTATGTTCCTCCGCACTCATCCAAAAATGTCACAATTAGCGGCTGCTAAATATATGAAAAAGTCGAAATCATTCGTACAGAAGTGGGTGCAGCGATATAATGTGGCAAAAAATATCGACGATTTACCGGAACGTGGCTCGATATGCAAAGTGGACAAAAAAGACGATAAAAAAATAGTGAATCTGTTTTCGCGGAATCCTGGCTTAACACTGCGTCAAGGACAAGCAAAATTAAAGTATAAAGGTTTAGATATATCGTATGAAACTATTCGAAATCTATCTCAAGGCTAATAACATGAAATGGTGCAACACCATACTGGTCGACCACGCTCTTACTTGATTTACTGTATATACATTCTGATTCTGCATATTGCACGCCAAAATGCTTTTCTAGACTTAAAAATGATATGATATTAAAATACATTCATAAGCAGAATCAGGATAGTAATATATTTATTAAATTGTACAAGCAATTTAATAATTTTTTTGCTAATAAGTATCTTTTAACAGGAATATAAATTGATATATGATTTATATGTTGATGAAATCTAAAAACTGCAAATAATTTATTGCGAAAAAAGGACTGTCTCGTTTGAAGATTCTTGTCCCTTTTGACTATAAATATGGACTGCGTTTGGAATATCTCGGATTTATAATCTGTCCTTGTTTAACATTAAAAAAATATGGCATCGGAGGCATCCGAGCGACGTTTCCAAACTACAGTAGCCAACTTCAGTGTCGTCAAGCTAGAAAATTAGGCTCCGTCCCAAAGAGTAATTTTCTACGGAAGTAGTGGGGAGCTTTGACTATAGTCAAAGCATGTTTACAGTGTGCAACGGTATATAACCATTGTCAGCAATGGTATATAAAAAATTCTGAATCTGTTTTTAACATCGAAAAATATTTATTATTATCTTTATATAAAGTATTT